TAATGGATGCAGAACGCATTCGAAACGCGTCGGCCAACTCATCACTATCTACAACTTTTACACGTTGTTCTAACAACGTTAAGACGGCTTATCGACTTCTTGAGAAGAATTCTAAGAAGAAAGTAAATCTACAGACATCGGTCTTGTTTAACAAAATCTGCATATATATATATATATATATTTTGTTTTTGAAATACCAGTTCAGTTAGTTCAAAGCAACACAATGAGCTATCTGGAGTTTGTCCACCACAGGATATCTAACCCAGGATCTTAGCATTGTAAGTCTGTAAACTTACCACTGACTCACCAGAGGAAATTTCAGTACTAAGTACCCAATTTAAATAAGATGATTTTAATACTATTACTTCTACTACTCTTATGTGCTTGAAGAAATTGGAACCAGCCTCGGCACAGGCTCTCCTCCTACAAATAATCTTCTCAAGGTTCTTTTATTAATAATGCCCAATTTAATAGATTGAAATAGCATCTGCCCTTTTTAATTTTAAATAGACAAGGGAAATTTAACAAACCAAAATGTTTGCCTTTTATAATTCACTTGCTGAGTTATACATTAAATATTGCAGGAAGTATTATGTATATTACACACTAAAAGATAATTATATTATAGAAAATAATAAGATCGATGTTATACATTAAATATTTAAAAATTTACTAGCATTTAGTAGGTCTGTTTGTTAATATAACTATCATTCAGAAAACCTAAAAATACAAAATATGGAAGTATGTATCTGCACAGCTAGGAATAATGTTGCAATTTTAGGCCTATCTGTATCTACAGTAGTAAGTCTGAAAACCTATACTTATGAAATTTAACTAACCTTTGTAGAAATACCATAAATTATCTACTCTTGATCTAACTAATAAATAAACGAGTAAAATATTTATTTGTACCAAACTCCATGTATTGTTGTGAAGGAACTACCTCAGACTTAGTAAATATTAATATATAAAATGCTTCAGTATTCTATTCCTTTTTATTTCTATACTTTGGTACTCACATTTCCACACACACGCACAAAAAACTTTAATGACACTTAAATGCTAAGTTTCTCATAGCTAATTAAGATGATGACACTTTAGTAGAATAAAAAACATCAATAAAAAGAATGAATTATTTTTATACTAAAATGTAATCATCGTGATTAGCTACGAGTTTTTTTGTATATTTTTAATATTTTCTAATCAGCAGTTAATCATACATTTGATTCTGATATGATAAACAAAATAGAAAAACATTATGGAAAAACAAAAAACAATAGTAAACCTTACTTAATGAAATTAGTATAATAAAACTTTAGCTCTAACACCAACCTTAATTTCCAGATGGGGCCCTCTCCATGTTCTCGAAGACGTTCCTGTACACCAACTCCAGGTACATACCCAGAGATGAAATCCCCACCTACCATTACAACACCTACAAGATAAGAACAGTAAATATCAAAATAATTTAAAATTAAATGCAGCAACCATTTAAGAACTGTAGTATATAGATCAGAACATTTAACATACAGAAGAAAAGATCATCATCAAATATATCCATGTCTAGCAATACATTAAGCATTCACAGAAGTTTCTACTGCATTATGTCTTTTGTACTTCTATTGTAGCACATTAAAAATATAACTCACTGTAGAATCCTTCATTAGCCCCTGAATGATAGGTCTCTGGTGTTGGAGCTACAGAATTGGAGTTATGGCCTACTTCAAAACAATGAAGATATCTACCATCTAATGTAGTCACCTGTAAACACAGAAAATTTAGAAAAGAGAAAAAAAAATAATATATATATATATATGCACACGTAAAATTGTACTTAAAATCAGGATTCAAAATTTTTTGAGTTAAAGAAAAACTGGTTTATTCATCAAATATATTTCTAGAATTTAAAAAATTATGGATCTCACAAACATTGATACTTATTTCACCATATTATTTATATGTAGAAAATGCCCTATTTTATAACCAAATTTGAGATAGTAATTTAGAGTATTTAAAAAGTCTTGGAAACAGTCTTTGAAATTTTAATTGTAAATGTAAATATATATAATTACATGAGGTGTACTCTCGTAACCAGAAGCATCACTAAGAGTCACGAGATAGTTAGTAAATTACTGCTGTTTATAACTCGATATTGTTATTAATATTGGAATAGGTTGTTTTTTTTCTTTCTAATTTTTTTTCTCCCATTAGTTCTATAGTATATAAATATGGTCTTATTGTACTTTTCTGCTTCAGAAGTAAAAATCTCCTTTTAAATATAAAGCAAGTTATCATACTAATCTTATACAAATGCAATGCAGACATACAGCATGTTTAGAAAATTTAATGTAAATACCTCCTAAGAATAACATCCAGATAAATATTTATATTTTCACAAAATTCATTTACAGTAAGGTATAAACAAGAGTTAATATTTTTACCTCAAGATAAATATCAAATAAAACTTGTTCTAAAGACACAATCGATATTAGGATGCTTTTCAATGAGCCACAAAGGTAACATTTAGTTAACAAACGTATATACATATATTTCAGAATATACATATATTTTCTTCAAAATGAGTTCCTTAGTTCAACCTTTAGAATTCCATACCTTACACACACCACCTGTAGATATGGATAAAATAGCCCTCTGGTGGCTTCGAACAAAAGGCCAGCTACTATGCAGGAATGTGATATCCCTTATAATAGTTGTGTGAAGCTGAAAAATGGAGCCAATAGAATATAGTATAGTAATAATCCTTAAAACATCATAGATTATATTGAAAGAAAATTGTAGTCAATGTGAAAAAGAACAAAAAAAAATTTAAAGTTGTGTGTATTAAGCCTTTTGAGAGAATAACAACAACCATATATTGTACACATCAGATATATACACACATACACACAATTCTATCAACTGCATACTTAGTAACCTTTATGATTACCTAAGAGTAATTAGTTACTAACTTCTGTTTTTTGTTCATTTACCCTACATTTTAGCTACTAATCTGCTTGCATCTTTACGAGATTCTTGAGATGGATAAGTATGTGATGGCAGGAGACACAATTCAAATTTGTTTCGTTTTTGTTAGAAAGGCAGCTGAATTATCAACACGTTTGAAGTTTTACTTAAATGGGACTTGATTTGAAAACTGTTTTGATGTTTTCAAGATTTTTCTAAGTTAGCTGGGTTTTGATCAAGTAAATATAGAAAAATTATTTGTCTTTTCTTTTTCTTTTGATGTGCTAGTTCGTATTTCCTTATTTTTGTATTCTTTGACTTAAATTATATGAAAATATACACAAGATAAGCAGAAAGATAAAAAAACTGTCTACATCCAGCACAGAAGTTAGCAAAATCTGGATATCACCCTTGACTTAAGTTGGATTTCACACAAAACTACATGAGGGCTATCTGCTCTAGCCATCTCCAATTTTGAAGTGATAGACTAGAAGGAAGGTGACTAGTTAACATCACCTTCTGCCAGTTCTTGGGAATACTCTTGTCAGGTTTAATAGTGGGATTTGATCCTGACTCTTATAACACATCCACAGTCCAAAAGAGTGTAGTGCATTTTTTTTTTCTTTTGGCAGCAATGGCAGGTAAACCAAGGAGCCTCAGCTTCATAGTCTTCATGCTAACCATTGATCCATGCTCAGCCCTAATCCCCCCTTGAATAGAAATCAATAATAATGGGTGAGAACCAGAGAAGTTTGTTTGTTTTGAATTTCGTGCAAAGCTACACAAGGGCTATCTGCACTAGCCATCCCTAATTTAGCTGTGTAAGACTAGAGGGAAGGCAGCTAGTCATCACCACCCACTGCCAACTCTTGGGCTACTCTTTTATCAATGAATAGTGGGACTGTCCATCACATCATAATGCCCCCATGGCTGAAAGGACCAGAAGTATAAAGCACACTTGCTTTTCTAGCAAAAAGGCTCAGGTTAAAATTTTGGCTTCTGTTACCAAATACAGCCCTTTTCGATACACTAATAAAGCTAAAATGAATAGTTAAAAATTAATTTGTAACTACTGACTATAGAAAAACTGACAATTAATTAGTAACTAGATTTAGGTGACCACATAAGGCTAATGACAATGACTAATGTCCAAATACTACAACATTACTAAAGTACAAAAAAAGCGATGAGATAAACTTATACAAAAAACATCTACTATAAAATACACATTTATATAATATTTTATGTGTTAAACTTCTCTATAAACCAACAATAGTTAGACAATGTTTATAAAAACAAAAATCTAGATTGTTCCAAGATTTGAAAGTTTTAATTATTTGTAATTTTTATTATGAGTTAAGGAATACGAAAAATGGAAGCAATTAACAACAGTGATCTTGACAGAAAATTCTAGTTATCGAACAAAAAGAAATGTCACATTAGTAAATAATGGTATAAAACAATATATATATATAGCTTTATACTACACGCATGCACACACACACACATATATATATATATATATATATATTTACATACTTCATCACCTGTACTAACAATAGAGAAAATTATCTAATTTCATTGTTTATTTACAATGAAAGTTAATGATCTCCAATGAAAGTGAAAAGGTTATACTCTCCACAGAAGATCAAGACATATCAAACAACAAAGCATAATTTTAGATGTTGCTTAGTAACTACACTTGATAAGCTATATATCCCCATGCTTTCTGCAACATAAAACAGCTATAAAAATGTTCTTCTTTCTTCCTGTTCTATCGTCTCTTTGTTCAGCAATTGTGTCCATAAAACCTTTTCATCACTTACGTACTTCGATATTTTTTCATCCTACTAACACCTTACATAAAGTACTAATAAAAGCACTCAAGTACAAATATTTGTTAAAAAAGATATCAGTAGATCTTAAGAATAAACAGAAAAATAGTTTTACTTGCCAAACTCACATCATAAATAAAGTCTAGAGGTAAAGGCATCCTCAGATCAAACAGGGTCAGGCCCTGAAAAAAAGAAGATAAACATTAAATGCATTTCTCCTAGCTATTTTTGAGTTATTATTCAAGAGGAAATATGCACATATCAAAGAAAGTGATAGTCAGGTAAATTAAAAACTTACTTCTTAGATGACAATAACCTTACTAAAATTCTTTGAACCCATGTATGACCAAAACATGTTACTGAGAAAACATCTTATTCATGACGTAAAACTAGTTTAACTCTATGTCCGCGGACAATCCATTGGACAAACACCCATATCTGTAAAGCTATATATGGTACTATTTACTAAAAAGTCTCTTGAAGACAGAAATTCAAAATTTTTAATAAAATATTTCTACTAATTTGTCTGTGAATTTCTGACATCTTTGCTGAGTCAATCTGAGTGAAATACTTCTTTTCATCTAGAATCTCTTAAGTGAATATTAACGTTTTGGCAAAACCACATATCAGTTATTTTTTTCACCCTAAGGCTTTATGTACTGAAACGAAAAGTTGAAAAATAAGAAAGAAAATGAAGAATATCTTTTTCCACTCTTTTTTAAATACATCATTTTGCAAAATTCCAGTTTTCTTACTTTCACAGTTTCAACTGTCAACCTTTTCTCACTCGTTTTAATTTTATGGTTTTATTGCCTATTCTTGGACCACCATCCTCAGTCAAAAGCAATAAATCAAAGCAACAGGTGAGTAGCCAACTGTCACAAGTAAAGAGCATTCCCTGTGTGACATTTGCACTGGAGGTATAACTAAACCAAGCCTCACTTTTGTTAACTAAATTATTTGTTCATATAAAACTAACATGTACCTTTCAAATATGCATTTTAGAACACACAAAATATAATCAGGCACTAGAAAAGTGTCTCTAAAAACTAGTATAATTTAACTAGCTTTGTAACTAAGTCATAAGTAGGTTATAAAAATTGCATTAGCTGCTTCGAGTTGAACAACAATTATCACAAACAAAGAATATAAAGCCCACTGTATGTATGCCCACCAAAATTAAATAACCATAATAAGCATTTTAAAGAGATGAAAATGCTTTTCTATTGGTTATAAACATGTCTATCAAGTAACAGTATTTGGTTTAGATAGCTGCTTTGAGAGCTATGAATAGATGGGAGGGGCTTCACAGGTGGGTTTAACAAATGTATTGATATCTCAGCAAATCAAGAAGGTAGGAGGTTCAAATTATATATTCTAGCCTGTCATTACCTTTGGTTTGTGTTCTAGTTGGTTGGACAAAGAAAGCCATATTAGGGAAGGTACAAAATCTATAAGGGAGAATTCAGAGAGCAGACACATGAAGTGACATAGAGAAGTGAAGATTAAGAATTTTTTTAAATACTTCCTTTCGAAAGTAAGAAATTAAAACTTAGATATTAAAATTTAAATATACACCACATTTTGATGCCAAGATTATTGACATACATTGACAATAAAGTTGTTCAATTAAATACTGAATGTAACTCTGTAAAAGGTTGTAACATGCACACTTTGACCCAGTCATGCACATAGGGTTAAACAACCAAGAAATGTTACTAAATAAACTAATTCAAATTCCACTAAACAGTCAACTTTAAGCTTCTTGATACAAACATTACTATAGTAATTTAACTTTACACATTCATATACAAGAAAACTGAAAAGTCCACCAAGGTCATGATCTACTTTTCTTTTTTATTAACACTATCTGCCCAGGAATCACTTACTGTGCATGTCACAAGGTTTTAGTGACTTACATTCAAAGTTTTATTAAACTACTTTTTGTTATACCAATTAGTATAGCAAAAAATCTTAGATAATAACACATATTTTAATAGTATACAAGTTTTAAGTTCTTAATTTTATAAGGCAATGTTTAAAAAAATCCTGAATTTCCCGTAGTGTGAGAAAGGTGACAAATTTTCTGTAGGCATCTCATCTTCTCTATTTTATTCACCAACCCCCCAATAAGTATGAAATTCAATGTAAACTATTCACTATAAAATTGTTATTGCTCAGACAAACCATAATTTTTATAGCTTTCAAATTTCTTTGGTTACAGAGCCATCAAATAGAAAATCAGACCCTTCTTGCCACACCTACCTGTCACATGCTCTCTTTCAGGATTTGTTAATAACTCTCTTTTACGTTTGATTCTATATTATCCATAACCAATAGAAAGCCAAGGTTTTCATCTATCAAATGACGTATTATATTATGTTGTTTTCTGAACGAATAATAGTCAATTTCACTTTTAGTACAAGCTTCATTCCCACTGGAAAGATAATGACTAGCTTGAATGAATTTGTAATGGCTCTTGTCGCATAGTTAGAAAGTCAGAAAAATTGTGATAGTTAGAAGAAATTGTCTGCTTTTTGCATGTTATTATTATATATATTAAAAAAAAAAAAAGACACAGGTAATTACTTTATTTCGTGTTATTCATGTTAATTCTTTACTTATTATCATAAAAGTAAGTAAAATGTAAGAATAGGAAACTCTTTAGGTTAGATTAGGTAAAATAAATAATAATAATATAGTCAAAATATTTCACAAGGCACGCACGCGAGCAACTTGGAGTAGCTCGTGGATAATGTAATTCGATAGCGTAATGTGAGCTCCGCATTCTTCAAGTGATTTACACCTTTTAATGGCATAAGTAGTAGTTAGATACAAATCAAACAGATGTATATTGTTATGAGTTTAGAGCTACTTAGGATAACAACAAAATTACTAAGAAAATGCCACAGAAGGATCTGTGTTAGTGTGAATACTTAAATAAGACTTAATAATTTTGTAAAATTCAATCCTTGTTTCATGAGTAAGAACGTAATTTTGTTCCTCAGTTCAATATCTATTAGCTTATTTATCATAAATTATAACTGCTCATAACAATAATTTTAGTATGCATGGCTACTTTACCTTTCCATTTACACAACTGCATACAGCCATATTTGGACACACAGGATCAGCAGCCAGACCTGCCCTATCCCTCCCATTGAAAGCACCTACAGGAAAGAACCAAGAAATACATTAGTTCTCCAATAGACAAGCTGCTCCAATTGAATTAATATTTCATACTAACTAAACTAATCTGATTATTATTCTTATATCTTTGACAACTACACGTTCCTCAAAAGTACACAAAATATACATTAAACAAAAGAGATGTTTCTATTGTGTTACTTAAGGATTTTTTGTCAAGTTGCTATTGTAAATTTTTTATCAAAATAATTACAGACCAGACCAAAGCACTAAACTTGGCAAGATCACTCATTGTGGTATGCAGAGCAATATCAGAAGTGAAGCCATGAGGCTTAGAGTATTTCTTCTCCAACGAAGGTCAATCCTGACCACCCTTTCTGTCAGAGCATAAGAATCTCTGCCTACCAACCAAAAAAGTCAGACTTACTGAGCTTTTTTAACACAAAAGCTTAGCACAAGCCTCCATCATTAATAATATAGCTAGATAAACTTCTGCATCTAATGCAAGCAGCTATAGCCTCTATAAATAAATATGGAATTAATGTTTGCTCTAAATAGCATTTATAATATTTCAAACAGACTATTGAGTCTTGTCAACATCACTAAAAATTATTGTTTTGCTCTTTAGGTCAATTTGTTGTCTCTAGACGTTCAGTCTTCCTATACTGTTTTGTGACCATGAAGAGATTGCCTAAAGGATATGCTTTCATGCCCAAAATGTCCAAGAGAAGGGTGTAAGGACCAACCGCAGACACAGACCTTATTGTCTGTCTTGTGAGCTTATTCTTCAACTTACTTAATATTTATTCTGGTACAGACAAACACTTCCAGTACTACAGCATCAATACCACCTGTCAAAACTTGGCAAACCCAAAACCCTTCCTGTTTAACATATCTTCTCAAGATGTGATACAACTTCTCTATTTTTTAAGAAAGAAAAGAAGTCAGCCTGAGAGGCTGGAAAATCATATCAAGAGGCCACAGAAGCCTTTCTCCTTCGGGCCTCCAGAGCAAAATTCTGCCACAGAGCTGCTGGAGAGATTCACCTGTGTTCTATATGAATAGACCAAACCCCTGGGAAACATAAATGACCTGAGTCAGGAGCTTTCCTCCAAGAAAGACACAAATAATGGAGAAGATTCTTCCCTACCCATGTAAGAACAGGTTTGATAGAACATCTTTTGTTTAACCATTTGTCTGTTGTTGTCATTTTTATTATAAATTTCAATCTGCTGATTTTTCTTGTAAATATCATTGTTTCTTGCAGTACACACTTTTTCAGCATTCCAACAGAGCCATCTATGAGGCAAGCATTTGTACTAATAGCCTAAACAGGGATATGGATGGACCAAAACTGACAATACCTGGAAGCCTGTCTAGACTTTCTTGTCCAAGGTAGCCAAGGCTTGCAAATAACTTAAAAAGTGTGGCTCTAGAAAGTGAAGATGTAAAAAGGAAGACTCTCCTGCACAGCTCTCTGTCTGTATGATGGAATGTATGAACTTGAACAGACACAAATAATACCATAAACTATTTCCTATTAGTGGAAGATAGCTTTCAATATTCAAGATGAAACTGAGTGTTTAATTATGTTGTATTTAAATACATAGGTATATTTTTGTTAATGTATAACATCTAAAGTCAGGAATTTTATGGTAATTTTGTGAATTAAATTGTTTATTTCTGTTTAGCATAATAGTGTTTGAGTTATCAGACAGTTTACACTTTTGACTACTAAAATAGACAATAAAATTGCTGGCTTTAAATTTTTACATATACATATTAAACACCATTTTAATTTGTAGCGACACTAACTTAAGCCAAGATTTCTCTATCAGGTCATGCTTGAGGTATTCCATGCAATTACCAGTGATCACCATTTTAGCTTTCTTGGTCAAATGTTATAGTCAGCAGATGATTTTGTCCATTTAATTTTATTTTTTGTTATTTACTAGAAATTTAAGATAGTATCTATGGGTCTTAGAAAATCCTTGAAGCATTAAAACACAATATGATATTCAAAAGAGAATAATTTCAGCATTTTACAAAATGTTTATAATGATTTTGGAGAAAATAAAGTTGTTACTCAACAAATACATAAGTTAAATGCATCTATTTCTTATATTTTGACATGTTTTTAAATTTAGTTATGATACTATTGGTCCACCTGAAAGTATAAGTTAGGTTTTTTATTAGGATGTGACACCCCCTTCTAATATTGCTTTATACACTCCAAGGAGCATTCATATTAAGTTTTGTGCCTTAGTCCAATCTATCCCAATTTTTTCCATAAGCAGTACAATTATTTAAGTCAAATCATCACTCAATCATCAATAATATGTTAAGCACCGTTTCAGAGATTCCATGAATAATATAAAAATGATTCAAAATACTGTGTTAACAGTTTAAGCCTACAGAATATCTATAAAGATATTGAAGTTTTAAAAAAATAATTATGAGACTGTTACACTACAAATAATGACCCAAAAAAACAACTAAAATATTTTTTACAAACACATGTTAAGACGAAGCTGAAATAATAACTTACAGTTATCATATGACATGATTTGTTCACCTCTTTCAACATCTATCACAGCTAACCTTCTGGCTGTTGTAGCTGCAAGAATCTGAAATTTTGTTGCCAAAGTACAATTTTACAATTTTCTTATAGAATGTTAGTCCACAAGTTGTCAGTGAGACAGAAAATCATTTGAAGATTATACTTAATGCAACAAATAAAACACTTACAGGGAGAACAACTTAAAGGATATTAAAATATTCTGTTTAAAAAAAGATTCTGCAATAATAATATAACGACGGTGTAAAAACATCCCAATATATCTGCTCTAGCAGAATCACATTACTGTAATTTGTAATCAATATGCTTAATTAAAGATGTAATTTCAATAGAAGAGATTCAACAAAACACAAAATTGAACATTAATCAGTATCATATAACCAAATAAGGAAAATAAAAAGACTGTAGTAATATTCCAACACAACACTGGTCCTCATTTTTGATTATGATGTAACTACAAAAAAAAACAAGAAAAGTCTTACCTGATAGGTCAAAAAGTAGAAAAAAATGCAATAAAAAACTCAAGCTTTGACTCATTGTGTTAGCAGAAATTAGTAAGTAGTCTAAGAGCCTTGGAAAATTATTTGTAGCTTGCTGTAGCTATTACTTCATAAATAGACTTCACAACTACTGCAAAAATGGGTTAAATGTTTACACAAGTTTTATTCGGCGGAAGGAGGAAGTATTAAATTACATTATTGTATATTTTGCCTGATAATTCCTGGATTATGAGTAGTAATTGTTTATGAAATTCTGTCAAGAGAATTTGGGTGCACATTGCCTGACACCTGACAAGTTTTACTGTTATACTTTGCTCATTAGACAATTTTTTTCCACATTGTCTTATTAATAGGAAAACATTCCAGGTACATTTATAGGGAAACAGGCAAGGTCCTAAAAATTCTGAATTGTGGAAGTCTAGCACATATCAGTGAACATCTTAAACCTCAAACCAAAACTAAATACACACAAATATACATATCTCTTAAATTCAAAAACTATCAGTAACACACACAGCAGTAATCATGTTTAAATTAATGCAACAATATTATTACACTACTTTTATCTACAGGATTAACCCAGTAAGTTGACTATCAGCTATAGGGAGAATATATAACATAATAAAGATCTTAAAAAACTTTCAAATATATATATTAAACACTATTTCAGTTTATAGCCACATTAATCTAAACCATGATTCCTCTATCAGGTCATGTGTGTGATATCCTACATGCTGTGCTGTTAAACTAGTGACTAAATGTTCAAAATGATAAAATACAGTATATGCCATTCCCAACATAACCGAGAAGTCAATGACACTGTATTGATTATTTTTGCTGTAAATAAACGCAGCATCCTAAAAGTTATAATCTAATTTTGTGTGTGTTTTATGGGATTTGGAGGGAGCAAGTAAATTTTTCTAGCATTTTGAACTTTTAGACAAGAATTTTTTTTTAATTCCAAAGCCCAAACCCCTCTAATGTATTCATCAAATTAAAACAATTACTAACAAAAAAAATAGATGTTAGTAGTGAGCCTGAAAACACCTTGATATCTTGGTTTCATAAATCTTACATATTTTACCTTGACATACATGCTGATAAGAGGTTCTGAAGCTTCATGTCACTAACTATGGTTTGGAGCTTGCAACAAACTCTTATGTCTATGCTTTTCAAATGAATCTAACATACATTGCAATTCTAATTATCAGGATGAAAGGAAAAATATGTTTCCTGAAATATTTTCTGTGATGATAAATACGTAAAACATTACATTCTTATACACAATTTAATCATTTAACACCCATTTCTATCCTTGAACTTTTTAATCTAAAAATCTAAAATATGTCCACAGTTATTTGAAATAAATACTATCAGTCACCAACACTAGATATATGTAAAAAAAAAGTAAGAAAGAATGCCTCACTTACACGAGTTCCATCATTTGTGAATCGAACAGCATTCACATTCCGTGCTAGACCCATAGTTGTTATCTAACAATAAATAATAATTATTACACTTCTACATATATTAACACCACAAAAGACTTCCCCAAGTTTTTCTTCAGTATAAAACAGTTCTCATATACATGTATTTAAACAATAACGGGTATCTGTACTGCTGCATGCAAATTTTGCCATTTCCAATAGTTTCAGTACTTGTTGATAAAACACACACTGTGACAAACATAATTTGATAAATAAAAATAATAACTTACATTTACAGATTTAAAACGTTTATACATAAGACTGTGTGAAAAAAAGAAACAAATGAAAAAAAGCAAATTTGAAAGGATTCCAAATAGAGATCATAATATTCATGCCAATGTTATTACAGTGGTCATCATGGATGGTTAAGACTGATTAAAATTCCACTGGTTACAGGGGAAAAACATAACAGTAGCTTGTTTTTGGTATGTCCAAGAAGAGAGTGATATCTGGAATATTAATAGTTTCCCAAACTCTTATGTGAGAATTTCTTTGTTCAATGGATTTCAGAATAGAGGAATATAATGAAGGCAAAAAAAAAAGAATTGACAGAATGAATAAATATCATCTGTAATAAATGTATTAATTTACATAAATAAAATGTTTTTTTAAATAAAACAATGAAGTACATAATTTAGAAACATGGCAAAATTTTACATATGGAGTGTTTTCTTCCAAATTGCTAACAAACGGACAAAGGAGAACAAGTAGATCAGTGCAAAAGTTGAATATGAAAGTTGGCATTCAAGTAGTATTTCAATGAAATGTATACAAAATTGAATTTTCTGCAACCAAATTCAGGTCTGTGGCATCAACAAAAACAAAATGGTGGGCTTTTAGATTTCATCCAGAGGGTGCTGTTGTGTAAAAAAAAAATGTTTTTGCATATGTGAATAACATTGTTATATATCATACATATTTTGTATATGGCTGATATAAATAGTTTTGACTAAGGTTTTGTGTGTTACATGCCCAGCTGACCTCATGCTCTCTGAGTAAAAGACCTTGTCATCAGTGCCATGCAGTGCAGTCAAGATGCCATTATGTTCTTTTTACTGGAAACCCACGTAGGACTGGTAAAGAAAGATTTGTTAAACATTATAATCAGTCTTGTTCTCATGTAATGTCATACAAACTGTTGATCAACACATTGGATTCTATTTGAATATTTTGACACAATTCTGGGGGTCACTGTCAGTGTTACAACTGTGATTTATTTTCTTGGATGTGCTAATCAATGCTATGCCAAACTTTCCTTTTTGAATAAAAATTCAACTCAGCAGCAGAAAATCCTTAGTCAAGATTAAAATAATCATGGAGAAAATAAAATGAAATACATTAATAAATACAACAAACAATGAACCAAGATGACTAAGACAAGTGCAATAATTAAGTGGTCATAGTAGTCTTTATGACTCCAGAAGTATCCTCAGGTGAAAAATTTTAAAAAATCATATACATGCAAACACTTCTTAAATAATCTAAATCAACAAAATTGTTTTGCCTCATTATTTTCACATAGGTTTCACAACATTTGAACCCCATATTTCAGCCACTACTCAGCTTGTATTGCTTAGATATTTTATTTTAAGTACTATGTGAAGATTATTTTGTTAAAAACTAGTTTGAACACTCAAAACTGTCTACTTGGCATTGTGGTAAATGATGACAAAATTCCAGTGTTCTTTTGCTTTTTCAGTAGTAGATTCCATTTTTTAGTCTTTAATAAATCATAACCTACATGAATTTTTCTTAACAGTCAGATTGGTCAAACATGCTAAAATTACTTTTTATAATCATCTTAATTGTATATGCTAAAATCTTTTTGATACTAAACAGCTATTCTTCTGGACAAAATGTAAATGTCTGTCATTTTATGTTCATTCCACTGAAGTTAGTGTCAAAAAAGTTAAATTCTTTCAATGTATTTCAATGAAATATACTTCAATACCAACTTTGATACTGACTTTTGGTCACTGATACAGACCTTCATTATTGCCAGTCGAGTGCAAACATTGCAACATCACATAAAATCACAGAGCAGCCTTCAAAGTCAATAAGATCAACTTACCACTATGTTCTGAACAAATGTAAAGACAGAGCAGACACTACTTTTCATGAAAAATGAAATATAATTTAATTTCTATTATCACTAAGCTCAAAAATGATAACATTGTGTACAGATAAGGTGTTATATGATACATCACAAAGTTTTCTCATTTTCTTTTTGTATTTTGTGTTTTCATGCTTAATCTAAATCTTTCAACTATCAAATGAAACCTGTTGGCACGAGATAATAAATTAATTATACAGGACTTTTAGAAGTTCTGAGCTGTTAAGGAAATACATAAGCAATATGCTCATTACTTACTTGATAGCACATCAGTAGTTCCATACGCTGTGCTGAATAAAGATTAACTTTGCCATCATAAGCTCCTGAACAAAACAAGTATCTGTCCTGTTAAAATAAGTCAGTTGATGAATGGAGTTCACACAATGAAGTTACCCCATACAAGAATAAATGTAAAAACAATTCATTGAAAAACTACAGTTTAGTTCTCAATAAATAACATAATGAAAGAAACATTTATCAGTGATGTGTATGGGAGGATGGCTGGGTAGGCTCAAGCACCTGCCTTCCTGTTCTTATACCCCAAAAGTGCCCTTTTTCTCAGTCACAAAAATTTTCCATAACTTCTAAAAGACATGTCTGATTCAACAGCTTGCTTGCTGCAAGTTATTAAGGAAAAAAAAAGATTTCAGCTATAAAATTAATGGAACCCAGGGACTTGTAGGTTTTTACAATAGAAAAATAATTGTGATATGCTCTTAAGTGTTCATACACAGTAATTCATTGTTTAGTTGTAGATTTGATAAGTATTTATAAGCCTGACTGAATAAAAGTGGGTATTTTTGCTTCTCATGGCTTTCTACTCCATGTGTACCAGAGGCAACCCACAGTCCCTATAATCTCTCCTAACTACTTTCCCCTCCCAAAAAAAAGTATTGCCTTGTGATGCTTGAAAAGTGCCTCCCCTTTCCAATGAGCCCATGTCCTTTTAATGTCCTCTGCATATTAATGACATTTTTGTTTTATTACGCATCTTACAATACTAGTAATTCACATAAAAATATAAACTCTGAACAGTAGTTTAGAGCAGTGGTTCTCAACATGGGCCACATGTGAATGACGAAAAATTAAGGGGCCACAGTAAATTCTAATGGGACTCCAAAACTTCAGTGCCCAAATAAAATACTTAAAAGTGAATCAAAGGTTTCCTTCTCCCTGTATCCCCCACAGCTCAGAAGTCAAGTTACCAGACGTGACTAGTACTCAATTAACAATCAAAATGTTTGGTATCTGTGAATGTTTGACTGATTCTCAAGAGCATAAATAAAGTATAAGTAAACAGTATGTTATAAAGAAAATATTTAAAAACAATACAATATTGTAAAAATAATATAATATTATAAATAAACAGTGTGGAAATAAAATAACTTTTTTTCCTAAGTAACAGCATCTACGAAGGGTGAGGCCACAGAGATAAATCAAACTCAAAAGAGAGCCACAAGCGAAAAAGGTTATTTGGCTCTGTTTGTGATACTTTGGAAAGTTTGTGTCCTAGATCTTGAATTTTTATCAAAGATGATATGAAGTTAGCATTAGACTTATCAGAAAAATTAGTGTCAAGGTTTATGGGTTGAACCTAATACATAACAAAATAAAATTCATTTGTGTGATATATAGAACTTCTTTAGATAATCTTATCTCTTTTACCAACTAACTTAGCTAGTTACTGTATGAAATTACATACATTTATAGATGGAGGTGCATAATTTATTTAATTCTGGTCTTAATAATGATTATTTACGAGCTTAATTTCTCATGATCTTTAAAAGTCTCAGAGGTTTTCATGCAAAAGTAACTAAATATGTTTCAGCTTTAATAGAATATATAAACAACTACCACAGGGAACATTTGTCCAACTCATCCAAGTAAAATTTTATGAAAATTTATTTTATGTTAAATCTTAATAATGATTTAATACTTGTTTGTTAATAAACATTTTAATGAAATAAATACAATAATTTTCTGAGTATTATATTAAAACAATGAGGTCAGTCTGTGGGTGTGATTTTAGATTGAAGACTATTAAGTAAATCTCATACTCTAAACCAGTACCAAGCAAAGAAATTGACCCTATGTATTGTGGGATGATATTTGTGCCATTTTAGTTAATTCAACGTTGTTTGCAGGTTGTTTTTTTTTTTATTTGTTGAGTAAAATGTTGTACTGGCAATACAAAGGACTTTAATTAATGTTCGCACAGGCTAATGAAAAAACAATTATTATTTTCGTGGACTTAATTTATCTATTTTAACAGAATGTGTGCTCAACCAAAATTATGTAACTAATGTTAAATTATATTTTATTTAAAATGCAGTAACAGCTGTACAAAACATTCCAGCAGTTACACATACAATGAAATACAAGTCAAAAAGAATGAATATTAACTTTTTAACTTCATGCACACTTTGCATCTTGCACAGTATATATTCTGCAGTTGTTCCAGCAGCCAATTAGCATAAGTGTTGATATCCAGTTACACTAGATTGAATTTTCACTTCCCTGGCATACTTTGACCAACACCAGAGTCATCAAAATACACAAACTCAAAAAATACTATGAAACAAACTGCTAAAAGAAATTCTAAATTTCCCACATTACTGAACAAAGCACCAACAAAAGCTTCATCATTAATAGTTCCCTAAGTATACTTCAACTTTACACAACTTCAGTTTAATAAAAGGTGATAAAACATTGAATCTTCCTCCACATACTGTACTTTGGCAGGAGCTAAAAACTCCTCCAATGTGTAAACAAAACCAAAACTAAATATCTGTTGAAATATTAGGACAACAGTCAACTTATACCTGATTGGGTGGTGAACATAAATGATGACATATCACCATGCCAAACAAGTTAATAAAGCAGAGATTCACATTCATATTTTCATTGAGACCACACTCACATTGTTGCAAACACATTAACAACATTGCATAACCTATAGTTTTCCCACAGACAATTATATTATTATTAAATGTTTTCTCAGTTTACTACTACTACTACCACAACTCCACATTACACGAAAATTATAAATATTTTTTGCAATTCCTAAAATTTCATACTGATATCAACATCAGTCCATGCTAAATGGTCAATCTGAGAAAAAAACTTAAAAACAAAAATGCTTATTTTCATGTGGGAATTTGAGGAATTTCCCTGTCAACTGATTGAAAGAAATGTTTTGAAGATGTGTAAAGGAATGGAAAGAATGCAGAGAGAAAGAAATATGTTGAGCATGTATTTATTGTTGTTCAGTTTATATTTATATCTATTTATTGTTTTCATGTTGGTATTATATACATGCATAATTTTACTGTACCATGTTGAATAAATTGATTTGAATTAAACTGAATATCTTCTCTTTGATACTTCTTACAGAAATAACTGTAAAAAGCACTCACTTTGGTAGCACTTAGTAAATATTGACAAGGAACAGTCACATTCAGCAGAAAAAAATCCCCATGGCTATTTAGCAAGCCTGAGCACTTTATTGTGCTGGATGAACCTAATGCAGTGAAATCAAAACATTTTTGCCAACCCTTTCTGGACAAGGCACTCTCTAAACTCCTTTCTATGTATGACACGAAGTGTTACTAAGTTAAATTCAAAATTTAATTAATCCACTTTATTATAAATGTATTTTAATGATATGAACATCATCAAGTATGTTATAATTCAAAGTTTTACATTTTCTAAGTTTTTATTCCTTTATTTCAAAAGAAACCTCTAAAACAATAATTAAAACATGAGGTTTGCAGTTAAAAATATCTTAGCTTTTATTTCTTCTATTTCAGGTGTACTTGGCCTAATGTAAACATTTTGTTTAGTTAATCAAAGTACATGTATAGAGCTTGGTTACCACTAGCTTGCTTCATTTTCCGTAAACAGACTACAAGGAACGGAGTTGTGAACTTCTCCCCTCAGTTAGAAGCCTTGCCTACTTTCAAAATTGGAAAGGGCTGTTGTTTAGGAACAGATTAGATTTGAATGGCATGCTTATAACAAACAAAAAGAGCTGGTTTTATGCTACAATTTTCTCATTACTAACTTGAAACTGTCATGGATTGTGTGTTGACAACAATTCACTTTGCCAAATACATTGTTGGTGAACACTTTTACCAAGTGTATATCTATATTTGACAGGTTTAATAATTTTTATAATGTAACCAAAACTTTACCTCGCTCCACAAGGCCTGCTTTACTAAAAGAATGCAAAAATGTTTTGTCTGAGGCTAAAGTATCTCTGCCGATAATACTGTTATATCGTCAGCAGGCACCCAATGATATGTGTCAACATAAATAATCAATGGTAAATAATAGAAAAGGAAAATAAAACATTAAAAATAAACTCTTAAGTCAAAAGGTAAAGATGTAAAATTATGGATATGACCCAAAGATTTTAACATTATTCAACAAAGAGTTAAAAGGTATGTACATATTTCTATTTTTAAACATTTCATTGCACAATACATTGATGATAATAGCTAGAGAAAATGGAAAATGAAATCTAAACATTTATCTTAAAATAACTTTTGATATTAATTTAGGAGGTTCTAGAGATTATCTAAATGAAATGTGAAAACTGTAAGACAAAAAAAGAGCATTTTTACATTTAATATGAAAATTATTTTGCAGGTAAACTCTTCAGAGTCCATTTGTAAATAACTACGTTAAATAAGAAATTTTTAGTAGAAATAGTAGAAAAAATCAAAATTAAATATTTTGTTTTTAACTACCTACTTTTAGAAAAGTTCTTGTGAAATTTCAAAGAATTTCATCCACTAGTTTTATTTTTTGAAAGAATTATGTATTAAAAGCAAACACAATGCAGTATTCCTTATTGAAATAACATATGGAATGACAAAAGATGGCTATAAACAGCCCACTAGACAATCATATTGCATATATGCTCTAATACAAGGGATTGAGTTGACTGCACATTTTATACTTATTATCACTACTTTTATTTTGTAGAGATAATTTTTCACAAAACTGAGATAAATTCAATGGTATGACTTGTTGGCAATAAAAATTGTCAATGTAAGAACAGTTGGGGTTAGACTGTTAAGGACTTTTCCTCAATGTCTTCCAGATAAAAATACTGATTTTACATGATTTCAAATACTAAAAAAATGTGTTCATAAAATTCTACTACTTTCATGATCTGTAAATTATTTAATTACCACCAACACATCAGCATCAGTCCTAGTTGTCAGGACACATACATCTACGTTTATATCTTCTAAACAGTGTTCTTACTAATCTTAATCTGCTGAGAGATAGATATTTAATTAATTTGTTTCAAGGTGATCTGCTGTTAAAATTCATATTGTGAATTTGTTAAAAAAGTTTAACTACAGCATTCAGAGACAATCAGTGAACAAATGCAGGTAAACACAATGATCCACAAATTTACAGTTGCATCCACAAACCAGGATTTTAAGTACTTAATCTAAAACTCAATATCATTAATGCAAAATTAAATAAAAAAACTTCTCACATTTTCAAAATAAACTGTTTCTACGATATTGACTAACAACACAATTCAAAACTTTAAGGGACATGCTTTCAACTATGGATTTAGAGAAGGGTATTTATACAAAAGAACACAGATTATAAATATAAATAACTTTAGTGATGCAAGTATAATAAAATATAGTTCCAGAGTTCTGTACTTGGAACCTTATTTTAATAATATACATAAATGATTTATTTGATTTAAATTGTAAAATTATTACTTTTGTTGGTGATACAGCATTAAAATTTAGCCCTACTAATATAAAAGAATTAAAATTTCAAATTATAAACAATTTTCTTGTGACATACTTGCTAATAATAGAATATTATTATTTATAAAGAATAAAAGTTTTTACTTACAAATAAAAATCAATATTTATCCTAACAGAATACAGGGATTAAAATATAAAATTTCAAGTTAAAAAGAAGATAATGCATAAACAGTTTACTTACTTAGCATAAAAAATATTTAATAAAAATGAAAATATCATGACTACGACTAAGTTTAAGGTACAATGAACATTCTTGTTTAACTATAAAACTATAGAAAAATATATTTAAGGTAATAACTTTAATTATTATTTCTATTGAAATGTGATTAAATAAATTAATGAATAATTAATGTTTATTAACTCAAAAGAACCAAAAGCTATTGGGTTAATTATCATTTACTTTGTATTATTGTCTTATATTGTAATAATATCCTAATGCCACCACTGTACTTATTCAACATGTTATCTACCAGTAGTAAAATTTTAACAATTATCTAAAAAGCTAAGGGATTTGAGGCTTTTTAAAAGCTTCATTCATTGATAAAGCTTAGCAATAAAGAAAAAAACCTGCTTTGCTCTGATTTACTTTCATACATTTATAAGCAATGTAAGGGTAACTGTACTTTAGCTACATACCCTGGGACTAAATGCCACACCTCGTACACTACCTTGGTGGAACTTCAGAAACTTCGGTACACCTTCCTGCTGCATATTTATTGATGTGGAAAAGTAATTTTGAAACAAAATCAAGTTATTGTAGTTACTGGTCTGATGCTGACTTCATGAAAAAGTATGTTCTCCCAGATATCAGCTCACAAACATTTTGTTCTATATAAAGCACAAGTAATGAGAATTGAACATATATAGACTAAGAAAACATGAGCATTTTATATTTCTTATAATTCAATATGTTACAAAATAAAGCTAGCTATTAACTCATTTAATCAAAATTACAGTTAGTCATGAAAACAATCAATTCATTAAAACTGATGTTTCCAACTATTATTGTCTCCAATTGTTACAACTATTCATTTAATTCAAGTACTGTCATTATAATTTCTCATTGTTATTTTTCATTAATTCAAGGTTATTCAACTTAATCAATATAAATTAGTGTCACAACTCATTATAATAACAGACTAACCAAAGTTAGTGTTTCCAGTTATTAAAACTACTTAAATCTAATCTGAAAATAATCACTTAGTTGAATGTAACCAATTAATGGGCCTGATGATCACTCAATTAGCACATTTGGCTAATCACGCAGTTCTATTAAAAAGAAATACATGCTATCTTCTTATAATGTCAATAAACATAACACTATGCAAGCCTCTAAAGCTAGATATTGTAATCATAGTTTTCCAAAAAATTCTCCACAATTATATTTATTTTCAAATCTGAATCCCTTATACCATATTTAATAGGCGAGCACACAAAAAAATTGTTAGTTACAAAAAAACTTTAGACACCTATTTATTATTGTTAGCTTCAGCTTCTTTATTGATGAACTTTGCTTTACACAAAAATACACAACATAGATATAATCACATAATTTTGAATGCTCTTTGATGTTGACATATTTCCTTTATGGGTAGTGAAAGTTGATTCATCAAAATGTTTTGTGTAACATTAATTTCCCATCTTCTATTAAACAATGAATACTATTTGGTTTTCTAACTACACTATTTATGGTTTCTGAACAATTTTAACAAAAATATAAATAGTTTCAACAATTAACAGTCACTATCTCCAAGTATCTAATCATGTTCTCTCTCTGTAGTTACTTCAAGTCACTGTATCCATCAACTTCATACATGTTTAAATCCTTCATCCTCATTACTAATTTCTTCTTCCTGGTTTAAGCCTCACTAGTCGTGAGACAGTATCATATTTTTGTTTTTATATTTCTGAATGTCTTTCAGTTGTGTTTGCAAGCAGCTGTGGTAGAAAGAAAGCTTAACACCTGCATAACAACTTTAAATATTTGCCAATGCCCAAGCACTTTTCCACCACATATAATGTTCAGTAATAGTAGCTAACTTTTATAAATTTTTTTTCTCCATAATTTTTGAACAGTTTTGTATTCAGCCAAATTATAAAAGCAACCATGGATCCATGTTAAGGATAAGTTCATTTATCTTCTGGTCATGTCCACAGTTTCAGCCTGCTCATCTTCCTCCATGTGTTAATTACTGTGCTTTAGGAACAATAAGCAAACTGCTAATTGGACAGAATGAATGCAAAATTCTCAGCAGGATGGAAATGTTTATCAGCAAATGTTCACAGGAATATGTTAGAATATTTCTGTAAATATTTTTCAGACAGTCCTAATATTACATAAATAACTCAGAGCCAAACCACAACCTTTTCTGGTTCCATAATATTTATAGAATCACTGAAGACTTTAACCATATACTCACCAATGTGAGATTCATCTCTTGATTAAATGCATATGTCAGTTTTATTAACTCTATGGCCTCCAGTGTCATCTTTAAATTCCTTACGGCATATGGTACTGTATTACATTCAAAATTTAATTAAAACACTTTACTATCAATATACAAAAATTCAATTAACATTATACTGTATGTTATAATTACAATTTTTATGTTATTTAAGTGTTAATTACTTTCTTTAAAGGAAACCTTTCAAAAAATACTTAAACTGCAGTTTTCTGTTATGTGATCCACAAACTTTGAAAAATCTTGACTTTATCACTGTTTCTCTCTTATATGCATAAGCTGGCACATACAAGAGTTTCTACACACTAAGTACATATGTTTGACATAACTGTCACATGAAATCAAAAGTTTGCAAGCTGGGCTGTCTGGGAAAAAAAAAAGATATATAAATTTTAAAACCCTTTATAGTTACCACACCCACCTTCTATACTTTGCCTTGAGATCTACAACATTACTTGTAGTCAGTTGACACGAGCGTATATAATCGTTAGAATGAGCTCAGTTTACACCATACCCTACCAATGGTTAACTTGAAATTGGCAGACAGTTTTCCTCACAGTGTACATGTAACTGCCATTCATATTGTTGGCTTCTTGATTGACTACAGCACGTGATTTTTTATCTAAATATGCTATAGAGACAGTTAAATTGTATTTAAGTCTTACTTTTATATTTTAGTTAATTATTTATTATGTTTGTTTTAAAAATCATACTTGAAGGGTTTAATGATTTTTATAAGTTTAACTTGTCACCTGGATTTTGGAAAGTTATCAACAAGATGGTGTGTATAAGCATCATCTTGTTTTGGCAACACGTCTCTGTGGGGAGTCAGACGGAATACCTTTGTAAAGCCCTGCGGGCATCAGTTAACAGCCATAAATGATAATAGACAAAGAATTTTAAAGGAAAATTAAAAATAAACTATAAGTGAAAAGATAAAGAATTGAAATTACACCTAAAAAAAACGACTGTTCCAGTGGATTTTTAAGAAGAGTTGAAAGGTATGTATATATTTCCACTTGTTAATTTTAATCATTTCATTGCACTGCCCATTGATGATAATAGATATAGTTAATAGTAGAGAAAATGGAATATATATATATATATTTACCTTAAAATTTTTTGTTATTCATTTATGATATTCTAAAGGTTATACAAATGGAATGTGAAAACTGTAAGATAAATAATAGTATTTTTATACTTCTATATAAAGATCACCTTGCAGGTGAACTATGCAAAGTGTAAGTGCAAATAACTACATTAAATAACGGACTTTTTATTAGAAAAAAGTAAAAAAAAAAAAAAAAAACTAAATGTCTTGTCAAATTTTAAACAATTTCATCCACATTTTATTTTTGGAACAAAATATGACTAGAGCGACATTACCTACTAAAAATATTAGTAGCCAGTAGTCATAGGTTAAAGGACTTCCCTTTAGTTCAGTCCATTTACCTGACATCAATGAATCAATTTTAACTTCTCAATGACGCGACTGTTCAAATCCTACACATTATCCAAGAGGGTGTATTTGATATGGAACTGTGAAATGAGTACAAAATCTGGTCTTAATTTATAAAAAAACTTATTTAAAAAGAAGTTAAGTGTTTTGCAACTTCAGATCATAATTCTTCTGACATGTTTTTCAATTTCATTTCATACTAGGAGATATTAAGACAAAGAAGTTCATGCTACAGCCAGCAGTCAAGTATCTTAAAAGTGGTCAGAAATGCCCAAATATCCTTGGAGTCATGTGTATGTAATTCCAAAACTGTTAAAATGATCAAGTAGAATGAGAATCTTGATCCTTTACAGTTTCCTTTTCATCATCACCTTCCTACAAAAGAAATTTTATAATTTTGTTTTTAGTATATAATTGATGAACAGTTTTCATTTAGCAATCTGACAGGCCTAGCAGGTTATAAGTAAAGGTGTACATTAAAATACAGCATTATTAAAATAATTTTATATATCAAAAGACAAAAATAATTTTATACTCACGACAACTGTAACAAATTTTCAAATATTAGCAGCTATTTATAAGAGAAAAATTTGGAGGTTCATACAGTAGGAGATATTGATTATACAATAGAAAATAATATTTAAAGAGTGTTGCCATTTTTCAGAAAAGTAATGGTACAGGCATAGTTAAGAAAAAGGTATACTGCTCTCCATTCTGAGAGCATTAAAGTAATTAAAAGACAACTATGTAAGTCATTCTACCCACAGAAGAAATATGTTTCTGAGAACATGTGTTGGACCATAATCGGGAGGTCAACTACAGTTCAGACAAGTGGCACCAGGAGGAACTTGACTAGCCCCTGGCAGGAGGAGGTTTTCAACCATTCACCTCAGGTGTAGGAACCAGAAGGGAAGAGAAGTCTCCTTTCTGAGAACCTACACAAACGTGTGCAAATTCAACACAACCAGGAACAATAAACCCCAAGAATGTACATCTGGATGACATCAAGAAGGTGTAAATGCAATGTGGAGGGTCAATCACCATTCTACTCCTGACTGAATGAAATTGTGTACACTCAGGAGGATTCCCAAGGAACATTAGAGATTGACAGCAATCTTTTTCTGCTTTACTCATGTTCCCACCAAGTGAGACAAATTGCAAAAAAGAACAAAAGACCACCTCTACCTCAAACATCCTCCAACTACAGAAAGAAGAAATCCATGACATCAACCAACACTTTTATTACATGCAACTACAACAAAATGTGGTTTCCTGAAGTTCCCAAAAACTGTATTTTAAATAACTTTTTAAAGAATTCTCAAACAAAACTATTAATATAGTCAACCAATTCTGTAAACTGAAAAGTAGCCTCACAAGTAACGAGATCAAATCCATTTATAATCTGAAAAAAGACACTAACATTAAAATTCTAAAAGCTGATAAAGGTAACACCACTGTAATCTTGAACAATTCAGAATACATCGACAAAATGAACGACATCCTTTCCGATAAAAAGAAATTCAAAGCCATCCCAAACAACCCAACAAACACACAAGAAAAACAACTAAACAGAACTTTATTACAAATGAAAAAAGTTAATTTAGTTACTGACAATCTTTATTTTTATACTGTCCACTTATGATTCCTTCAACTACAATCTTGGCAAATACATAGTCTGGGCTCTCACACCATATGTAAACATCTGCAGGTTCATTTTTTTAAAGATGCCATCAATTTCAAATACACACCAGACCAACTAAATTTGAAAGCCTTAATGGCTAGTTTTGATGTTGTGTCACTCTTCACAACTAAACAGAACTTTATTACAAATGAAAAAAGTTAATTTAGTTACAGACAATCTTTATTTTTATCTACGTAAAACTGATTCATGCACACCACAACTCTATGGCATTCCCAAACCACACAAACAGGACTGCTCCTACAACCTATACTGTCCACTTATGATTCCTTCAACTACAATCTTGACAAATACATAGTCTGGGCTCTCACACCATATGTAAACATCTGCAAATTCATTTTTTAAAGATGCCATCAATTTCAAATACACACCAGACCAACTAAATTCAAAAGCCTTAATGGCTAGTTTTGATGTTGTGTCACTCTTCACCGAAGTCCGAACCAATGAAGCTTATAATATTGCACTCAACCTCTACATTAATGACCCCAACAAGTTAACGCACATCCCCAGCACACTTTTTGTTTCTCTCTTAGAATTTACAATGACTAAAACCAATTTCACTTTCAACCAAGAACATTTCCTTCAAATAGACGGTTTAACTATGGGCAATCCTGTTTCACCCGTTCTTGCCAATACATTTATGACCCAGATCAAAACACAAGCCATACATTCTGCACTTCATCCCCCACTATACTGGTACAGATATGTCAATGACACTTTTGCTGGTTTCACTTCTACAGAACACACACTAACTTTCTTTTAACACATAAATTCCATTCATCCCAACATCAAATTTACCATAGAACATGAAAACAATAAACAGTTATCTTTTCTTAACCTCAACATTATTAGATCGGATACACAGTTTAAAACCAAAATTCACCGTAAGAACACACACACACCGGCCTCTACATCCCCTGGAATTCCGCTCATTACACCAGACAAAAAATCAATACACTCAAAAACCTCATAAACACAGCCACAAGACTCTGTTCAACAGACTACATAAATGAAAAAAATCAACCACATAAAGCATTCCTTCATTCACACCAATAAATTTCCACCAGCTATTGTTGAAAAACTCTCCAACATTCCCCACTACAAAACTGATACTAACAAACCCAACAACAGTACATTACACTGCAGTTTACCTTTTGTCCCTGAAACCAGTTCAAGAATTATCCACATTTGAACAAACTAGCCA